ACGCTAGTGATGGGGTTGTGGGAGGCAGAGAGCTCACCACCAAGTGAGCCCTCGACCCCACCTATAACCTTTTAGTTGCAAGATTCGCAATTTAATAGTTATACATATTTAATAAATTTTTTAAATATGAATACAGGTTCTAAGTACAAGTTATTACATTTGTCCGAATACACACAGTATTATAATTCTGCTCCTGGCGACCGGGAACTAACGATCTTTTTGCCGACCGACCCCATCAAATAAATTATCACTTAATGTTAATTCGAGTACTCCTAAATTTGTCTAATGAACCTGGTTCTTTATGTAATTTAAGTGCGATAAACTGAAGCACGGATAAATAAGAAGACAAAGATTTTTACATAAATATCACTCCCCTCAGAAAGTGCAAAAAAACTTGATTAACCCAATAAGTAGCATTTAACTCAAACTCAACAAAAATAAATGAGCCAAAATTTTAAAATTATAACTCGTGCAAGACTTAATTCTAAGCCTTTCCCCTAACAGTCCCACGACTGTTACATGCTTTCAAGTCAACTCCGACTTAAAAATGTAAAAGATTCGCTAGAGGCGGCCCAAGGAATTTTGTGGTCTAAACCAAACTTTATGAGGGGCTTTAACCTCTCTTTTTTTAATTATTTATTTGACTATTTCTTTTTTAGCTTTTTTAGACACAAAATTATTAATAATTTTCTTATAATCAATAACTCCTAATAAGTATTTCTCAATTGCCAATATAGCTAACTCATTTAACCTTTCTTGTAACATTGTTGTTCTTGGTAAGATTTTATCAATTTTAATTTTGAAAACTTCTTTCCGCTGAAGCAACGGTAACATGGGTTATGAACATTATTCCATAAGCAATTCAGACATTTGAAAAAGAATTAAATCTTTTTATTTGATTAAGTGTATCAATTAAACTATTATGTTCTAATTGTACTATTTTTCTTAATACTTTTAATTCAGAAAATAAATCTAAACCATCAATATCGAATTGATTATTATGCTTTAAGAATATTCAAGATTAAGGCAATACTTTTTCAAATTCCAACATCTAGTGATCTTAGTTTTTACTGCCAAATAGAAAACCAAAAATATTTTCATATGCTTCGAATTGTTCAAATTTATTTTGAAGTGAAAAAAATAGCCTTGTCTATTATGTATAAAGAAATCAACTCTAAAGAACTCGTCGAAAGATTTTGAGATTTCATTATCAACATTCGTATCAAATTGTTACTTTCTATATATCACACGTTTCTTACGAAATTCGAGTTCGATATTTATTTTAAGTGCAATTTCCTTGGTAGAAATCATAGTAGTTGCAAATCCTTCTCCTCTATATTTGTTAAAGAAAGAAATCAAACATTTTACTTTACAGAACTCTTTTTTAAACTTATAAATAGTCTATTATGTGTAAAAAAAAAATGGGGCTTCCATAAATATGGGGCCTAAAGCGGTTGTTTTATGCAAGGGTGACCCCTGAGTTTCACAAACTTAAACAATTATACTTTTAATAGAACTAATATACGTTACACGTTAATAATAGCACGTGATGATTTAAATATTTATTTATATGAAGAAATAATAAAATTTAATTAATGAGAAAATTTTTATATTTAATAATACAACAATCATTTAAATACCGAAAAATATTTACATTAGCATAATACATAAATTTAAAATAAAAGAACATCTTCATAACTTACACTAATGATCAATTTTGTCATGTTAGTTAGATAATTATGTATTATAGTTTAAAAGTATTTAAAGTAATGATATCTTAACGAACACTTATTTGTGGACAATATTTTTTTGTGTATGTTTCCTCATAATGCTTTGGTTGCTTTGCGTTAACCACAACTCTTGTTGTCGATCTTGATATCCCTTTTGAAAGTGTAATATACAGTTGTTCGTGCAAGAAAATATATTGGCGGTGAATATAGTCCAATATATAGGATGTTTATCCTTGTGCTTTGATATTAGGCTAGATTTATGTCATTTGACGATTGTTTTGCCCCAGCTTGATTATGTTTCAATGCTCTAATATAATTAAATGATGAAAAATGAGCTCTAAATTGTGTTGCAGGAATGAGGAGATTGTATGAGGCCTTAAAGTTGTGATTGGAGCTACATTAAAGCAAGAAAGACCCCTAGGAGCTGAGTAAGCGAGAAGACGAGAAAAAGAATCAACCAGATGAAGGACTGGACTAGCGCGTCCACTAGCACGACCGCGCTAGCCCAGATGGTCGAGGCAGAATGGTAGGCTACTAGAGCGGCCATTAACACGCCCACATGCGTGACCGCGCTAGCCCAGTTCCGGAAAATAATTCTCAGGGGTAAATTTAGAAGTCTGGGGGCAAATTCACTTAACCTATAGAAGGTCAAGCTCGCCCAAAAGGGGGGGGGGCAACTTTTGATAGCTGAGAGCAAGAAAAGGAAAGGCAAGAGGCAAGGAGGAGTATTTTACATCAAGTTCTTCTCTTCTTCCTTTTATTTTTATGATTTGTAATGAATTTGATTATTGTGATGAACATCATTGTTATGAGTAGCTAACTCTTTTAATCTAAGGTTTTGGGTGAACCCGTTGTGGATGAACTTGTTGTTATATTAATATAGTTTTGAGTTGGTTGTT